CCTCACACTGGGATGCTCCATCATATCTGACCTCACCACGCTCCTGCAATCACACACAGTGATCTTCACCTCATGGGAAACAGAGTCCTAGGAAGGGATAGATTGTCCAGGCTCACATCCAGTATAGGGCGGGGCCCCTGCACCTGGCTGCTCCCTTTCCATCCACTCCAAGTGGCTTCCAAAACTTTCTCTGGTAGCCCAACCCAGAGGCTGGGTCACTGGGGATACTCAAGAGTTTGGACTACCCTGCTGAATTAGCTGGGAGTCACTGCTCAAGCATCCCTGTGGCTGTTTCTCCTGGTCACTCAGTGCCTCCATTCCTTTGCCAACATTTGTCAAACATACCTGCATGCTACCGCCTCACCCTGCCACCCTGTGCAGGCCAAGTCCTGAGTGGCCTCACCGCCTTCACCAGGCAGGGGCTTAGAGGCCACTGAGAAGCCCCAAGGTCCAAGCACACAGCTCACCTGGCAGGAGAACCAGCCCTCTGGCGTGCAGAGGCGGCTGTTGGCGCAGGCCCGTCTGTCGAAGTAGCTGCCATGGTACTGCATGGACTTCAGTTTCTGGCCCATGCGCCCAAGGATCCTTGTGTACTCCTCCTGGGCCTCGGCACTGACCATGGAGGCATACGCTGCCACCTGAGGAACCCAGAAGCCTACTGAGAATGGCTTTGGCATGCCCCTGGGCCTGCAGTCTGGGCTCCTAGGCCATCTAACCCCCCACCCCCATGCCTTCACCAAGCAGGTGCTGTGCAGGAAGGGTGTTGTGCCCAGGAGGTCCACTGCATCCAGGGGTCCGCTGTGCCCTGATGTCCACCGTATCCAGGGGTCATCTGTACTCAGGGAGTCAGCTATACCCAGGGAATCGACATTCACATTCCTACTCGCCACTCACTGGCTGGCTGCCCTGGGAAATTTCTCTGGGCTTATGAAATGGTGCTATTCACAACATCTGGCCCATTGGAGTAGGTAAGAATTCAGTGAGACAATATAATGAGTGGTAGTAGCTATGTTGTTGTTATCAGATGAGCAGTATTGATCTGAAGGGACTGAATCTTATATTTGGAGAAAAAAACAATGAAGATTAGTTTGTATAAATGAAATGAGCTGGATTAGGAGACTCAGGAAAATGTGGATCCTCACCAATACCTTGTGGAGGCATCGAAAACCTAAAGGAAATGGCAGCAATTCTGGCACCCCATGAGCAGGTGATCCCAGAGCATGGCGGGACTGCCCGGAGGAGAGCTGGGATTGGACATGCCCTTCCACGTACTAATAGTATTTTGATGAGAAAGGCCACACTCAAATGCAGTACACAGGAACAGGGCACAGCAGCCAGGGAGAGCTGTTGGGAGGGAGTTTGTAGACGGAGGCAAGCTCAAGAAAGGAAGGACTGGGCAATCCTGGATGCAGCCCAAGCTGTCTGGACCCCACAGGCCTGTTTAAGCCCCAGCTGACTGGTCTCAGCCAGGGCCATAATGAACTCAAACTCTGGGCATCCCAGCTGCCCCATCTGTCCGGGTGCCCATCAGTGCTGGAAGAAACTGGAGAGGAAGCAGGTGGACGAGGCCACCACCTCCCACCACCACTGCCCACTGCCCAGCATGCTGCCCACATCAAGTGTGACAATGAAGACTCTGTATGGACAAATGAACGCCAAGGCCATGAGAGCTGAGGGAGGCAGAAACTGCGGCCCCTCCTCAAGGGATGTGTGATCCAGCTGCAGCAAGGAGCAGCTCAGGATGCCAGGGGGGCTGGTGGTCCACAGAGAGTGAGTGTTGAGCATAGAGGTGGGAATGCACTTCAGCTGGGCAGGGTGGCTGTCAGGGATGCCTGCAAGAGACTGGCCAGGTATAGGGAGGGCATCCAGTCAGCGTGAGGGATGAATGTGAGAAGGGGAGCGGAGAAGAGAAAGCAGAGCTGGGACCCAGACACCCCGATATTCAACGAGATTTCACACTTATTTGAGTTTGGGTTTCCTCCACAAAATTAGACTCTAGTTGTGGTAAAGGTTGTGTCAATTTGGCTGGGCCTGGTTTTGAGTGGCTGAGCAGCTGGATGTAGTATTCCCCATAATGAAACTGGTAATCAATTCCATGGTGGAATCTACTGTGAGCCGCTGAGTAACTGCTTTAGGGATGTAGTCTGCTTCTAGTAGAAGCAACTTTGAGGAAGGTCTCTAGCTTTTTGGCATGCTTAAAACCTGCGTGTAGCCAAGTGGTTGGTCAACCGCCTGCCAAGCCCTGCCGATCTCAGGACTTCTTCTGGACTTGAATTAGTGCCCTGCTGTGTTGTTTGGTAACATCAGGACTGTGCCTTTTTACTTGTAGACCTTGGGTTTGACAGCCTCAGCAGCCAGCAGCTGCCTGACAGGAGAAAGCCTCCAGCTTCAGTGGCCTGGGAGCAAGAGCCAGAGATGAAGCCCAAGGTCGAGGGTCTTTCACTCAGCCCCTAGAGCCTAGCCCTCTGAACTCAGACTTCTAGCCTCCAAAACTGTAAGAGAATAAATCCCTGTTTGTTCAAGCCATTCCCATTTGTGGTATATTTTCTGTGAGAACAGCATGAAGTAACCAAAACACCAGTCCAAGACACATGGCTGGGTATGGGGGTGGCACGGGAGGGGGAGTGGAAGCACCACCTACAAAGCTGGGGGAAAAGATGGCCTCATGGCTTCCCTCCAACCACACAAGCAGAAGGGCAGACACCATCACAGACAGAGAAGCCCAGAGGCTTTTGCTGTGAGCTGCTGCCCACACCCTTTTCTTCCTCCAGGCCCCACCATCATACTCCACCCTCACCAAGGGGGCTGGCTGCCAAGAGCCCCTGGGGTCACCAGGGCAGATAGAGCCCAGCGCGGCACCCTGTTCGGTCTCACACTCAAGCACATTCCCAGGAATTTACAGCTCATGTTTCATATTTTCACAGAGGTCTGAGCCCAGAGTCATTTCCAGAGGCAACCCCAGCCCACCCCTCCTCTCCTCATCTCATTTTAAGAGATCTGAAGGGAGGTGCACAAAACCCAATTTAGTGGCAAAGTGCAAGGTCCACACAACTAAATTACCCCAGAATGGCTCCCATTCTCCCTCCATTTACGGGCACACTCCAGTGCCCCACTCCACCACTCTCTCTGACTTTGAACTTCATTTGTCAACTCAGTCTATTTCTTTGTTGAAAGGAAAGCCAAATAGAGATCACGTCAGGGGCAATGGACCCAAAGACTGATTTCTTCTTGAAGGCTAAGAGCAGTTTCCACTGGGAGCATTTACACTTTAAGTCCACATCCGTCTCTCTTACATCTCCCAGACAAGGGGGGAGTCACTACTGTATTCAGCCCACAAAGTCGGAAAGCTCAGACCCAACCATGACTCAAAGCACCTCAGAAAAGCATGCCATGCAGCAAACTCAACTCAGCCCTTGCCAATTCTTCTCGGAGGTCAGTCAACCACACATTACCATGGGAGAGAGAAATAAATGAAAATTCAGGCATAAGTCAGAGCTAATGGTGGGCAGAAAAAAGAGGCTGATGTGGGCTAAGTTCATCTCAGAACTGAATGGCCTGACAGATGAAGACATTCATAGGTTGGCTTTAAACACTGGAAAGAATGACATGCAATTGGAAAGGGGAAAAGTTCTGGCTTGGGACCTTCTGGGAATAGTTGATTCTAATCAACAGAGGCCAGCCCCGGAAAGACCCCAGCACCACCTTCTGAGGAGAATGGCAGTCATACCTGTGAACGAGAAGCTGAGCAGATGAGGAAAGCTGTGAAACTGTGCTTCTGTGGTGCCAACAAGCAATGTGCTGGTTTAATCCTTCAGAGCAACCTGACTAGACCTGCACAAACACTGAAGTGGGCTGTGGGGGTAACGCCAACTTCACACCTACTGTGGGGATGACAAGCTGCCTTAGCTGGCCAAGCAGCCTCCTAAACATTCAGCATCCCTGGTGTCAACACAGACTCACCTCTCTCAGGTAACTTCGGATTCGGCTCTCACAGCTGTATCTCAAATAACTTGACTTGTTCCTAAATCGAGACTCTAAACCTGAGAGGAAGAGGAGGAGACCACCATGGGACCCATGAGAGCAGGCCAGGTTCCCTCGTGTTCTGTGTGAGGCTAAGCCCTGTGAGCATTCCTCTGCCGGGCTGATCAGCAGTAAGGGTTGAGGTCCTTCATCTGGAGGTTTCTGGGAGTGATGTGCACAGGGTCTCTGTTTTGTATTTGTCTGTTTGCTTTTTAGGAGAGGAGGATTCTCTCAGTCCACCAGCATGGGGCATCTTAAACAACAAGGGGCTTTTGCCAAGTTGGTACCTCAAACCTTCCTCTTCCCAAGAGGACTGCCATCTCTCTGATGTAAAGGCTGTTCTAGAGGGCTTCCCTAAGGGCTGATCCCCCACTTAGTGGTACTCTGTTCAAGGTCCTCTACCCGGTACCCCAGAGCATCCAGACAGGCCCTTTCATTCCATGAGCTTATAGACACAGAAACAGAATCCAGTTAATCCTGGTGTCTCCAGCTCTGAGGAAGCCCTTGCCCACCCAGCTCCCTCCCACAAGCACGAGCCCACAGCATACCCTCAAACCACTGCTGGTCCTCAGCCCTGGTCTCAGCTGTGATGTTCTCACTGACATTGTGAAGGAGGTCCACCAGCAGCTTCTGCCTCAGTGGGGCCTGCTCATCAGAGAGCAGCTGCTGGACAGCCTGGATGACACCTGCATGTGGCTTTTGAAATACACTGAGGAAGTGACCGATGTCACTGGCATCTGCCACCAGAAGAGGGAGACAGAAGGGCACACAGTCTTTGGAAAGCCTTTAGAGCACAGTCTTGTCCAGCCAGCAGGAAAGGCTCCTCCCACATCCACCCCCACCACAGATGCCAGATGCCCAAAGTGGCATTCACAGCAGGGTAAAGGCAGTTTCTGTGGAGACATCCTTGCCCAGATCTAAGTGCAGTCAGCCATCCACCCTGGCACCCACTCTGAGGTGTGGAGGAAACCCTACCTTCCTGGTCCATTCAGAAACAGTTAGCTCTCACTAGCACTTCTAGCATCTTCCTACACTCACTATGTGCTTTTCAGGTACTTGAGCCTCCCCACAGTTGCCATTATTATTGTTGTCAGGTGCCATCAAGTTGATTTTTGACTCATAGTGACCCATGTGACAGAGCAGAAACCCATAGGGTTTCCTAGGCATTTGAATGCTAACCAGAATAGTGGTTCAAATCCACCAGCCATTCCTTGGAAGGAAGATTGGGCAATCTACTTCTGTAGAGATACCGCCTTGAAAACCCAAGGAGGGGTCGCTATGAGTCGAATCAACATGACAGCAATGAGTCTGGTGGGTTTTTTGTTTTTTGTTTTTCACCTTTACAGGAGCAGGTTGCCAGGTGTGGTACAATGAATTACTTAATATGGCTCTACTAGCCATGGTCTTTGTGGCCCCCACCAGGTGACTGGGTGGAACTCTGCAAATATAATAAGGTGCTTCTTGCCCACTCAGGGGACTGGATAGCTCGTTAATTATGTAAATAAGGTACTTGGAGCCCTTAAGGGGGTGGGACCATGCAATTAAGGACCACGGAACCCTAAGTGGGGATTGGTCAGCTCTGCCATCCCACTAGACTTAAATTGCGCCATCCCAGAGGCAGAAGAGGGGACCTCACCACCATCAAGACAGAAAGAGCAGCCGGGAGCGGAACACGTCCTTGGACCCAAGCTCCCTGCACTGGACCTCCCTGGCAGAGAGATGGCAGCAGCAGAAGCAGCAGAACTGAGACCAGCAAGAGACAAAGCAGTGGCTGGCCAGCCCACAGAGCAAGAAAGCTGAGTGTCTTTGGCACTAGGCTTGCTGGCAAAGTGGTGTGCACCTACTGGCAAACTAAAAGAGCTTTGTAATGCTTGCCCAACCAAGCAGAGGCCAGCCCAAGAGGCTGAGAAGCAAAGAGAGGCATACAGCTCTACTCTGTCCTACAGGGTTGCTATGAGTTGTAATCAATTCAATGGCACACAACAACTGGATACCCCCGATGAACATAAATAAAAAGAACCAAAAAAAAAAAAAAAGATGTAACAAACGGAACAACTGAGTTCCTAGGCAAAAAGGCTTAAGACCTGACGACTGAAGTGGCATTGTCCACCATGGTCTCCAGTGGACTTCCTCCCTCACCCACTAGACCTTAGAGCAAGGGGGGAGCCCTTTCCCTCCCTGACCCCCCAGGCCCGGCATTGAGTCCCCAGGACCCCCTGAGCCCAGCATGCTTCTCTGCCCACCTCAGAGGTCTCCTGACTTACAGCCCTGCCAGGTCTGGCCTTCAGTGAGCAGCATAAGCTCTGAGTTGTCTGGGACGGTTGCAAAGTAATCTCCAGTCAGCTCGGTGCCATCCTCGTACAGGCACAGGCGGCAGCCAGACTCAGGGAGCTGAGGGCAGAGAGCAGAAGGAGGAAGACAAGGCAGGTTGCTGAGTGAATGAACCTCAGGTGGCCACTCTGAATGGCAGGATGAGGTTTGTCATCTGCAGTCCCCACAGAGTAGAACAACACACTGTATTTTAAAGAATGACGCTCCACGTGAGACCTGAGACAAGTACTCAGTGTCTAAAACTCAGTGCATGAAAAACAAGAATACTTCGCTTTAAGTCATTCTAAAATATAGACTCACTCTCCCTCACTGCAAGTGAGTCGATTCTGACTCTTATCCCTACAGGACAGAGTAGAACTGCCCACAGGGTTTCCTAGGCTATAAATCTTTACGGAAGCAGACTGCTTCATCTTTCTCCCACAGAAGGGCTGGTGGTTCAAACTGCCAACCTTGTGGCCCAAATGCTTTAACCACTATGTCACTAGAGCACAGTTACATAAAAATATGTATAAAAAGTGGTGACTGCTTTCTTTGCAGGGTTCACCACACAGATCCTTTAAAAATGAGCTTCTCGAGAGCACTAACAGTAGAGTCAATTTCAGAAAATGACTGGTACCTGCCTCCACTAAGCCTGTAAACATCTCACCAACAATGACTATACATTTCATGAAAGACAGGACACACCTACTTAATATATTTTCATTTTCTTGTAACCAGTAAAAAAGAAAACAAAATTGCTATTGAGTCGACTCTGACTCATGGCAACCCCACAGTGTCAAAGCAGAACTGGGCTCCACAGGCTTTCAATGGATGAACTTTCAGGAGATCATCAGGCCTTTCTTCTGAAGCATCTCTGGGTGGACTTGAACCTTCAAGCTTTTGGTTAGCAGCCAAGTCTTTAACTATTTGCACCACCCAAAATGCAAACCCATTGCCATCGAGTTGATTCTAACTATAGCGACCCTATAGGACAGAGTAGAACTGCCCCATAGGGTTTCCAAGGCTGTACATCTTAAAGGAAGCCAAACGCCTTATCTTTCTCCTGCAGAGCGGATTGTGGGTTCAAACTGCCGACCTTTTAGTTAGCAGGTAGCTGCGAGTGTTCAGCCACTGCACCACTGGAAACTCCTATTTTCTGGACACATCTTACTGAGAATAATTAATGAAGAACATTTTACTGAGAACAACCTCTGTCAAGAGTGTAACCAGTTGCACTGTTCTGTTATTTCCTGAGGTCTGGCTCCCTACTGCGTGACACTGATCAGTTTTAGGTCTGGCAAGCCCCCTCCCACCACCCACCTTTGCGCCACACATGTACACATAAGCAATTCCAGCACTGATACAAGCCCCTTCAGGAAATGTTAGTGCCCAGAGGGCCATTGAAGGTCATTTTAGTACAATCCCTTTGTTTTACAGATCAAGAAACTAAGGCACAGAGAGGTAAAGTGGCCATTTACCCATGAGCACACAGAGTTAGCAGCAGATGTGTGACCAGAACCCAGGCATCCTTCCGTGTGGCCATCAGTCCAAGCTGTTGTGACCCGGGTCAGAAGAAGGAAAGTTGTCTCAGGTACCTTCATAACCCTGCCTGCACTTCACCATCTGCTCAAGAGCTACAGGAATGCTTGGGGTAGGGGGCATGTGGGCTGGGGGGGGGGGGGGGGTTGGTGGCTAATGGTGAAGGAAATGGTTCGAGTCCACCCAGAGGAACCTCAAAGACTGACCTGATGACCTACTTCTGAAAACGCAGCCAGTGAAAACCCTATGGAGCACAGATTCCCTGAGCCTCCCCCCACCTCAGACATCCTCCCACATCTTCGGTTTTGAAGAAGAAAAGCAGCACATATTTGCTCCTCAATTTCTGGTCAGCACCTGAGCACTGTGAAAAGGCTTCAAGGAGCTGCAAGAACCCTCAGCTAAAATGCAGTTCTATTAAACAAGCCCATCATGAACCTGTGTGTATGGCAGGCACTGTGCAGTAGGTCCAAGGAGGACTTCTTCCCTCTTAGCCATTTTGCTACAGCCTTGTCCCTTCAGGGGCTCTGCTAGGATCCCGAAACAGACTTTGGAATTGCATGTTATTGTTGTTAGCTGTCATGAGTTGACTCATGGCAACTCCATGCGTACAGAGCAGAACTGCTTCATAGGCTTTTCAAGACTGTGACCTTCTGGAAGCAGATCACAAGGCCTGACTTCCAAAGCACCTCTGGGTGGTTTGAACTCCCAACCTTTCAGCCTGTCATTGAGCACTTAACTATTTGTGTTATAATAGTATAGGCAGAATTTCTGGTATGAGTATGGGTTCAAACTTCATAACCTAAAGCTCTAGATTAATCTTGTTTAATTTAAATATTGCCTTTTTCTACTACTTGTAGGCATAAGCACATAAGAATCCTGCCCCTGCAAACACATTCCTAAGGTCATAAAACCAAGACAGGAACAGCTCACAGGACAGGGCAACCATATTCCTCAGATCCTGGGACTAAGGAAGGGACACTGCCAAAGAAATAACGCAAATATAAATGTACTGCTTAGATGACATTTCCTAGAACAGGCCATTCTTGAGATGTCTTCTAGCCCACTACCCACAGTCAGTGTTAACTCGTTTTGGAGCCTGCGCACCCCTGCCCACCTGATGAACTGAGATGGCCAACCCAAGACAAGACCAAGGCTCAAACCAAAAGCAAACAGCAGAATACAACTGCACAAAAGAAGTCGTGGCATCCATGTTGAAACACACAGAGTCCCTCTTAGAAAGAGATTTCACACACACCTAGCCTGAAGGAAGTTGAGGTCTATCTTAGGAACTTATCAGTCTTGTTCCACTTTCTGACTTTCGCAAAAGGGTCAGGATTTTATGACTACCTGCCTGCATAACATCTTTTGAAACCATGTACTCTATGACTTTAAAAACTGTTTTAAAAAAAAAACAAACCTAGCCTGTAAGGCTTGGGGAGACACACATGGCATTGCCTCTAGCCCTGTATGTCTCCACCTTGCAAGGTTAGTATCTTCTTAATAAATTTCTGAGCTACAGCTGACTTTCTAGTTATTATCCTGGACCTCAGGGACTCCTTTAGAATTAGACAGTCCTGGATTTAAATGCAGCCCCATTGCCCCATTCCTTAGTAGCTATGGGTGAGTTACTTGTTCATTGTGTCTCTCTCTGTGCTTCAGCTTCTTCATCTGTAAATTAGGCTATTAGCACCCAGTTCAAACGGTTGTTTACTGGACTGGATGGTAGAACCCATGTAAAGGGCTTAGAACATCTGGCACAAGGTAAGAGCCCAGCTGGTACAAATCATGCTGATTTTTAGTTTCTCCACCTGTAAGATGTGGATGGGTGGTGCAAATTGGTTAAGATGCTGGGCTGAAAACCTTAAAGTTGGAGGTTCAAGTTCACCCAGATGCACCTCTGAAGACAGCCCTGGCAATCTACTTCCTAGCCACTGAAAACCCCACGGAACACAGTTCTACTCTGAAACACAATGGGGCATCATGAGTCATCAATCCTGAAGGCAACTTTTTTTTTAAGATGTGCTAATTTTGTTCTCATAGGGTTTCTGCAATGACTAAACGGTACAATGTGTCCATTAAACATGGTATGAGAGAGCTCTGCTGGCTAGTGCCTAAGGCATTTGACTGCTAACCAGAAGGTTTGCGGTTCAAACCCACCAGCCACACCTTGGAAGGAAGGTTGGGCAATCTACTTCCGCAGTGATAGCGCCTCGTAAACCCAAGGAGGGGTCGTTATGAGTCGAGTGGACTCCAAGGCAGCATGTTTGTGTTTTGCTTGAGCTTAGTGCAGCCCTGGAGGTGGTGAAAAATCAATAAATGAGTAATTACTACCATTAGTAAAGACCACAGTTGTTGTTGTTGTTGTTGTTACCTGCCATCGAGTCGGCCCCGACTCATAGCGACCCCTCCTTGGGTTTCTGAGACAGTATCACTACGGAAGTAGGATTGCCCAACCTTCCTTCCAGTTGTTGTTGTTGTTGTTGTTATGTGCCGTCAAGTCAAACCCGACTCATAGCGACCCCTCCTTGGGTTTCCGAAGCAGTATCACTACAGAAGTAGGATTGCCCAACCTTCCTTCCGAGGAGTGGCTGGTGGGTTTGAACCGCCAGCCGTCTGGTTAGCAGGCAAGTGTCTTAGCCACTATGCTACCAGAGCTCCCAGTAGTAGAGAGCAATCTACCCACAGAATGCTCCACCTCTTCCGGCAAAAGAAATATCTAAGATGGCTCGTTACCTGTAAACTGAATGTCCAGAAAATCCCTACCCCTCTGTGGGCCCTTTTTATGTGGATCTCTAGCTGCCTCCTGCCCATTTCCTACCCGACCCGTGGGTTCCGACATGCTCTCTCCCTTACAGCTCACTTGCAGCTCCCCAGCGGGGCAGGGACCACCAACCGGAAGGGGACCAAGGACCGGGCAGGGACCACCCCAGCCTCTCGCGGCGCCGCGGGAGCGCCCGGGCGCCCACCTGCCCAGGATTGAGGCGGGTGCGGGGCGGGCTGGCAGAAGACCTGGAACTGGCGGCATCCTTTCTGCAGCACTTCCTTGCAGCTCCTGCCTGCCACCCCGAACTTATTCGGGCTGTGAAGGGCACGCAGCTTAAAGGTCTTGGTTTTCCGGAACATTGCAAACATCCTCGAGGTATTTCCCGCCACTCGGTCCAATCTTTCACCCAGAATCGGGGTCTCAACGCGCGAACCTTGCGTGCCCTGCAGCCGACAGAGGCCAGGCCCCGCCCGAAGACTACATTACCCAGAAGGCCGGGGGAGAAGCTTGGCCTGTACGCAAGAGCGACCGGGTCAGGGCTGAGTCGGGGCCCTGCGCACGCGTAAAGCCGTCCCCCACCCCCTCCCGCCAGGCTTGGTTGTCATGAGAGCGGCTGCCGCGGCCGGGGCTATGGGTCGAGGCGGACTGTGTTGCTCCTCGGCTGCTAACGCAGCTGCGGCTCCGGGGCGTGGGACCGCCCGGGGCGGCGGAGGAGGCGCCACCTGAGTCCGCCGCAGGGAGCCGTTTGTCGAGGAGTCGGCTAAGGGACAGCTGGGCCGTCCCTCCCAGGCCCGGAGGGCCGAGGCCTGCCTCCCCCGGCTTCATCTGGGGCTCCACCCGACCCGGCCGCCCCGCAGCAAGCCGCGCCCCGACTTTCCGTGAAGCGCCCCACCAGCCAGAGTCGCCCCACGCCACCGTCCCCATCCCATTGGCGCTCCCGAAATTCCAGTTGGGGGACCTTTCCGTTCTGATCAGGTATCTTTACAACAGCTGACGTTATCGAGCCTTTGCTCTGTGCCAGACCCTCATACGAACAGGTTTACAGCCCTGGGTCCAGAGTCGGGAGGGAGGGAGGGATGACTATGCCCTTGGTGTGGTTGCCACCCCGCCCCCGAATTAGGGCTCATCTCTGGAATCCCTGCTTTGGCGTTTGCACAGCTAGTCGGTGGTTACCCGGAGTCCCAAGCCTGTGGATGTTTAAAATCCCAGGCAGCCTTGGTGGACTTTAGGCTTCGGACTTTCTATTGTCCAAAAAAAAACCAGTGTGGTCTTCTCGGGGGCAAGCAATCTCTCAATTATCACTGGATGTAAGAAGTGCTGGCTTCAGTCAGGGCACGGCGCGCACAGGTAAACTGCCAGATCTGTTGGGTTACATCCCAATAGAGCAATAGATTCCAAAATCTCCCTGCAGCTTTAGCTCAGAGCTGGTTTCTTGGAGTTAGCATTGCTTTTCATTTTCATATGCCAACTTGCCTTTCTTCTGAACGTGTGACTTATGGTGAACCAGACCTCCAAGGCTGACTTTAAAATGTGTTCTGCTGATGAAAAGATTGAAGAATGCTCAGCTCCTGTTTAAGTGAAAGTTTTCTCCTTTATTTATTTTTGTTAAGTTTCAGATTCTCTGAAAGGCACTTCAAATTCTTAAGGTGGTTTGATCCAAATAAAATTAACTTAATATTTAACATTTACACTTTCTTAAAATGAAAACTAGAAACAAGTTGTGTTTTCATAGCTGTGTAGCGAAATGTTTGGAAGTAGTTAAATTGTGTTTTGAATTTAATTTGTAAACATCAATGAACCTTATACATGTTGGAAAGTAGAAGTCATAAAGGGAACCCCTGTTTTCTCTTTTGCTGTGCTTGTACTAGTTAGCGTTAGGGGATCAGTGCATTGGCGGTTCAGTGGTAGAATTCTGGCCTTACCTGCCAGAAACCTGGCTTCTATTCCTGGCTAGTGCTCCTTACATACAGCCATCATCTGTCTGCCATTGGAGGCTTGCTTGTTGCAATGATGCTGAACAGATTTCAGCAGAGCTTCTAGAGTAAAACCAAGTAGGAATAAAGGCCTGGAGATCTGCTTCCAAAAATCAGCCAATGGAACACAATGGTTCAGTCCACAGCCCATCGTGGGGATGGTGTAAGGTGGGGCAGCATTTTGTTTTGTTGTGCACGGACTCACCATGAGTAGAGGGGGCTGATAACAACAGAGTCTAGTCTGGTTGCTGAAGGAGGAATGCAGCCTGGTGCTTGCTGGGGAGGGGGAGCTGTGCAGGAGGGCGTCTGGGAATCCCACCTACCTTGGAATCAGGAACACCATCTAATAACTGGTTATTCAGCAAAGCTTCCATTCTTCCCAAAGTTTTAATGGTGATTTTTATAGATTCTGAAAGTCACATAACGTTGGTAACACCCCAAGTATCTCATGCACAAAGGACACCCTAGGGTATAAAGTGGAAGTTCTTTGGGCAGAGGTGGACCAAAAAGGGATCCTTTTCAAGAAGGGGCCCAAACTGAGGTAATGACGTTGCCTCTGCAGTGTCCAGGCATTCTTCTAACTGGTTCATAGGTGTCAATTCTTTGTTTTTTAAATTTATTTGGGTGTTGGTGCAGCATAGTGGTACAAATGGGAAGGTGGAGACATCTGACTTCCTCTAACTTCATAAGAGGGAGAGAGAAACACCATCAGCATCAATGCAAAGCTGATTCCTATGAAACGGTCAAACATACCTCCACTCTCCAATCTTTTTAATGATTCTGATACCAACCGTTCCTCTTAAGGTACTCTCTGCTTCTCTGCTGAGTTCCATAATTTGTTGTAGTGGCCATACAGAACTCACAGACCATACTCACAGTTATTTATTAGTAGAGAAGCAACAGGTTACAATTCAGGATCAACTCAGGATACAGTTCTTTGGTCAGGACAGCTTCTTTTCAACCATGCCCGCAAGTACACTTCTCTTGGCCCCTAAGGTCTCATGGGCCAGTCCAGCCTCTGTCCTGCTCTGCTCCAGCAAGTGTTAGAAAGGCACCCCACTCCACCAGTATGCCTGGCCCAAAGGCACTCAGCTCTCTCACTCTATTGGTTGGCTACTGCCAGCAGGCAACTCTCTCCTCTAGCAAGCCTCCTGCCTGAAGGCACTCAGCTCTCCCTCGCTCCATGGGCCAGGAAGCACATGTTACCATCTCCTGGTCTCCTGGTTCTGCTGCCACTGTTTCTGTGCCATTGGTTCTCATCATCTGCAGTGTTACAGCTCTCTATCTCCAGGATCTAGGTGGTTCCTGGTGTAGGGACCCCCAAAGAATACAATGTGCTCCTGTCTTCTTTTCTTGGTGGTGGTCAGGTCACCCTCTGCTTGCTTCTTTCCTTTTATCTCTTGTAAGATGAAAAGTGTGACACAAGCAAGGGCATGAATTTAGTAGGCAGTGAAGGGTGGTGACTGGAGTAAGGATGGTGGCCTGAGTCACGTCCTTTAGTAAGGTGTTTGTTTTGATTACTAATGCCGCTCTGACAAGAATATACCACAAATGGGATGGCTTGAACAAACAGGAGTTTATTCTCTTACAGTTCAGGAGGCTAGAAGTCCAAGTTCAAAGTGCCAGGTTCTAGGGGCTGGATGAAAGCCCCTCAACCTTGGGCTTCAACTCTGCCCCTGTTCCCAGCCAACTGAAGCTAGAGGCTTTTCTTCACTTAGCT